AACCCGCCACCTTAGGTGTATGTGGCTGGCGCCTTAGCCACTTGAGCCACAGGCACCGAGCCTAGTATTCCTTTTCTATCCTTTAATATCCACAGAACGTGTAATAATATTCTGTCTCATTCCTACGACAGGTAATTTGTGTCTTCTTCTTATCTTGACCAGTCTGGCTAGAGATTTATCAATTTTATTCATTTTTCTCAAAGCATCAGTTTTGGTTTCACTGATTTCCACTGTTGTCTATTTTCAAATTCATTGGTTTTTGCATTTATTTTTATTATAGCCTTCTTTCTGCTTAGTTTGGGTGTGACTTCTTTTTCTGATTTCTTAAGCTAAAAGCTTTCCTTTTCTCCAAATGCACGTTGACTATCCCTTATCTGTAATGCTTGAAACCAAAAGTGTTTCAGATTTGAGATTTTTTTTACATTTGCGAATATTTGCATTATACTTAGAAAGTTTTAGATCTTGGAGGATTTTGGATTTTTAGATTAGGCATGCTCAACCTGTATAAGAATTTAACACTATACATTTCTTTTTTTTCCTTTTTTTTTTTTTGAGACAGAGTCTCACTTTATTGCCCTCGGTAGAGTGCCATGGCATCATAGCTCATAGCAACCTCTAACTCTTGGGCTCAAGAGATTCCCAGCCTCCCTATTAGCTGGGACTACAGGCACTTATCAAAACGCCAGGCCATTTCTTTGTTGCAGTTGTTATTGTCATTTAGCTGGCCCTGGCTGTTCAAACCTGCCAGCCTAGGTGCATGTGGCCGGTGACGTAACCACTGTACTATGGGCGCCAAGCCAATGCTATACATTTCTATATGAACAATGCTTTAGCTTTATCCTACAAGTTGTGATATATTAACATTTCTTTTAGTTCAAAATATTTTTATTTTCCTTGGTATTTTCTTTTCTTTTTTGAGACAGTCTCACTATATCACCCTCGGTAGAGTGCCATGGCATCATAGCTCACAGCAACCTCAAACTCTTGGGCTTAAGTGATTCTCTTTGTCTCAGCCTCCCATGTACCTGAGACTATAGGCACCTGCCACAATGTCTGGCTATTTTTTTGTTGCAGTTGTCATTGTTGTGTAGCTGGCCCAGCCAGGTTCAAACCCACCAGCCTCGGTGCATGTGGCTGGTGCTGTAACAACCACTGTGCTATGGGCGCGGAGCCTGTTTACTCTAAGTTTACGATAGCTTCTGGCTTCCTCTGAATGTTTTTCAAAACAAAAGAAAATATATATTAGGGATTTTTCATAAATGACAATATCTTACTTTGCCAACAAGAGCAGGAATGTTCATTGAATTTGTCGCAAATCCCATGCCGTATGTCATAGCAGCTTCTACTCCCAAGAACCATGCTACAAGTTTTTCTAGTTCTTCATGCTTGTCCAGGTTTCCTGTATGAAGAAGTTAAAAGTCAGTATCACAAATCCTGAATTTAACAATTACTCATGGCTCGGCGCCTGTGGCTCAAGCGGCTAAGGCGCCAGCCACATACACCTAAGGTGGCGGGTTCGAATCCCCAG